AACGAAACATTCATACAATTACAACAATTTCTTATTCCAATTAAATAAAATCGCAACGGAATTAACTAAATATCATAAACCAAAATTTCAAATATCAACAGAAACTCACTTGTTCTAACTGACTTGCATCATTCAGTCTCAAATTCCGCTTCTTCTCTTGTGAGTTGATAAAGCTAATAATTTATTTGATGTTTGAAATGAAATAGACATCTTATTGCAATTGATTTGCATGTATATCAATGGCAAGTCGATTTGTAATTTTTTTTTATAATATAATAACTATATCGGCATAAGCAACAGTACCAAAATAGGCTATAATTGTCATTGTGGAGATATTTAAGCTATAATTGTGATTGTGAAGATATTTAAGGGAGAGAACCTAGTTGATGAACAGTTCCACACTAGTTCAATGTGAATTGAGGATTGAAGGGTAAAATGAGAGATAAAATGGGAGGATACAATGGGAATAGAAAATGCTTCACAAATAAACAGTGCTCAGCGGGTTGGCTCTTTTATGTTAGTAGGATTATAACACCTACATTCACTTATGATTGTTTGAGAATCAAAAGTTAAACTCTAAAATGAGTCCCAAACAGGGCGTAATAAGCGTTAATTCAATTTATCAATTACAATTTGTTGGACTTAAATTATGGTTACTATAATTTTCTTGATTCATTAAAATCCTACTTTACCAACCTACGAATCAGCCATTATAATAGTATCAGCGATCATTAAATTTCAACATTGTACAAAGAATCTTTAGATGTGAATGACGCATATAAGAAGACCATCTCATCATACATAAATTAACTTATTTTATATATTTATATTTTCCACCGTACATTTATTTATGTTAATTCAGACCAACTTTTATTATAAGAATGCATCTTTTGTTAAGAGTATTTTATTTGAAAATGGCATTTGTATGTCATTTCAACGTGTGACAATTCTTCCATAGTTACTTGTCTTGGAATTTTAATGGTCAATGAATAAGCAATCGTCTATATTTCAAAATTTAATCGATTGCAATTATTTTTAAGAAAGTTTCAAAAGCCACAATTTTGAATGAGAATAGAGATTTAAGATTGCAATGTCCATCTCCGTTTGAATTTTTTTTTTTGTAAATTTCAATGATAAATGAGTCAAAAATTACCTGAAGGACCAATTTATAATTCCACATAAACTTTAGTGACCATATGTTAAATTGACTCAATAATGCCACCCTATTCTACAATGCTCTCTCAAATCTCACTTTAGGCTTAGGCTTGTTTGGTAAAGATTTTTGAAGAAGTGAAAATTATAAAATTGTGAAAAGTTATTATTTTAGGATGTATAAAGTCAAAGCTTATATAAAACAAAAACTCATCCATCTCTCTCGTCTCCACCGCTATCACTCGCCGCCACCACCACACCACACCACACCACACCACACAAACAACCGCACACAGATTTCCTCACCATCACACCACACCACACCACACAAACATCCGCATACAGATTTCCTCATATACATACAGACGCAGAAACTAGGACTCACGCACAGAAGTACAGATAGGCGACCTCTTTGTGTGGTTATTTCTGGCTGCTACAAAACCCTTGTACAAAATATCGGGGTTCCTTTATTGAATCTTAATTTTTGTATTTTTTGCTTTTACAGGTAGATTCGTAATTATGGAGGGATCCGAAGGCAAAGATTTCAAGGGCTTCACCGACGCCGCCTCCAGCAGCTCCATAACTACTGGTTCAGCTCCATTTTAATCTTTAACTCCAATTTTTTTTTTTCTATTTATTTTGTCTATCTGCTTTGATCTCTTTCTCGCTTTTAATCTGCAAAAACTTTATGGTTGTTTTTATTCCTGTTTTGCGTTTCTTAATTAATTCTACATGATAAAGGAGATCCAAGTTTTACAATGGTAAACCTAATTATTTGGTCTTTGACTGTGGGATGCAGATAGCACGCTATTTGATGCATCACAGTACATGTTTTTCGGGAAAGATATAGCGGATGAAGTAGAATTAGGGGGTTTGGAAGATGAAGAAGTTGGGGTTCCGGTGATTGGGGCCAGATTTGGTGGCGGAGATGATGAGCTGCACGAGTATCATTTGTTTGAAAAAGACGAGGTAATAATAAATGCATAGTCTTGATATGCTCTATCTTGAATACCTTGCATATGAATTTTAGAAGTTTCAGTAATGTATTTCCTTTGTAAAATTTTCTGGGTTCACGTATATATCTAAAATTAATACAAAGTCACAGGTACTGGATGTTTTGACTAACAAATCTCTGAAATGAGCAATGAATAGTTTCTGTTTAAAAGTTCTTGCTATTTACATAATAGTTGTTTGCTTGCATCAATGAAGTTCCAACAATATGTACTGTATAGCATATATTAGGCTTTTGTTTGGCCCACATTTTTTTTCAAAAACTCATATTTTCAAACACATTCTCCCATAAAATAATATTACATGTAAATTGAAAACTTTTCCTTATTTTTTAACCACATATTCTCCTAAAAAATCACTATTCAAAAACTCATTTTCGTCCAAATTTTCATTAAAATGGAGCCCAAACAAAAACTAGATTATATTCTTATTTTACACTTATGTCTTGGGAAAAGTACCTAAAGTTCTGATTCAAGTTCTTTTTATACGTTATAAAATTCAAGCATTTGTATGATCTTTTTTGTTTTTCGTACTTTCTTCATTCTAAAGTATCTTTAAACATTGCGCTGGCAAGATTGTTATTTCCTCTGCACTGTGAGCTTGTTATTTTCCTCTGAATTGTGGGCTTATTAATTGAACATTTTTTGTGATCTTAATCTTTTTGCATTTGCACATACCGTGTCTGTACCTTGTCCCAATGTCTCGATACATTTTTTCAATCCATCTGTAATGTTCAAGTTTCTTTTAAGAGCTAGAGGTAATGAGTTCTTGGCCGCTGAATTGATGTCTCCTTTTTTGTCAGGGATCAGGTTTAGGATCATTATCTGATATGGATGATTTGGCTACTACATTTGCAAAGGTCAGTTGTCTTCAAACTTGTAATGCTGGTCATAATTTTCAGTTTCTGGTGTTGGATTTTCTTATTATTCAAATCATTTTTTCCTATTTTTGTAATTTTTTTGAAAATCTTGTTTAGGATATACTTTTGTTTTTGGGGGGTTCCTGGTAATAATGATATTTCCAGCTTATCAAGTTCCAGTGGCCCTGACAAAGCATGGCTCTTCTTTGCTGCCTCACATGAATTTATTCTGATAGGCTTTGTAAATAGGAGTTGACCATAGGAACAGAAGTTACTATCTTAATGTCATTTTCTGGATAATAGTTCTGACCAGCTTATTGAAATGGGTTGAAGTCTGATGGGCTTTAAAGGATATGAGGAAAATGACACCAAACCACTGGAGAACTGACACTTCTGGCGGCGTTCCGCTGATTTTCTACCGCCAGATGTCTCTTGAGTGTCGCTGGCATGCCGTGAATGCTTGCAGATAACAGGAGAAAAAGATAAATAACCTAGCCTATTGTCATCTTCCTTTTCCAATAGCTAAATAGCAAGCCTGTTAGATTGCGATTGCCACTGCCGGTGGGCAGGGGCGGACCCAAGGGGGGTCCCGGGGGGG